GGTCCATAAGTCCCGAGTAATCAGCAAATTGGTGAGACAAGATCGTCTGCGTCGGAAACCATGTTGGGCATTAATAATTATTCATTGACTTACAAAGTATCTCGTCAGTTCATCTGCGATTACCGATTCCAGCACTTAATAAAACAGGAAGCGGAGTAATAGGTCGGTAGTTGGCAATATTCGATCGCTTACCTCCTTTGTATATTGGAGTGATAATTGCATTTTTCCACTCAGATGGGAGTGTATGGAAATTAAGCAGACCCTGGAAAAAAGCTTGCAAGTGGTGCCGCTTTGGTGGGAGCAAGGGTTTTCAGTATTTTTGGTCAGATCATGTCGATTCCAGGGGCACTGTACTCCCGGAGAGACTGTAGTTTGCTTGCAACAGCTGCTGGAGTAAAGCTGACCCTGGATCCGCCAACAACATTTGTTGGGAGTTGATAGGGTGAAGGTTCCATGATATTTGTAGCTACCGAGTAAAACTACAGGAGTAGAGCGTTTGCGGCATACACAGTAGTAGTTGTTAGGCCACTGGCTGTCTTGAGTGGTGGTATTCCGGGCTTAACCTTTCTTTTGACATTCACAAATCTGTGTAGTATTTTGGTGTTACTCGTAAATTGCAGCACATGGTCACCTGCCATTCGTACTTATAGACTCGATTGAGCGACGTGCAGTAGTTTTTGATGATTTTGTAATCCTGCCATGTGGTATCACATGGGCCTAGCGAATGTTGCCTCCATATCTCATCTCTTCAGTTGATCCATTTACGTGTTCTGCTTCGGATCCACGTATTGGTTAGGCGTGATGCTCGTACTGGTACAACCTTCGATGCTGATTGTCTGACCCAGTTAATCTTATCTTTCAGTTCATTCCACTCGTCGTTCGCTGAACTGTGCGTCTGTAGGTAATAGTCAACGGTTGCTGCTAAGTTGTGCAGCTTAAAATAGTCCGTAATAGTTCGTTGAGTCTCTCTTTCTTTATCAAAAATATTGGCATAACACACAACCAAATGTTAGGAATGTATGGTCGCTACGGCCCAGTGGAGGATCGTATGCTACTGGCTCAACCATCAACTCTTCATTACTCAGGATTAAGTCCAGCAGTGATGGATTGTTTGAACCGGGGTGTCTGGTTGGTCGATGCACATGGTTATACAAAACTGCCAAATCCATGAATTCAAGGAGCTTCGATTTAAATGATAGTTTATTAGGGGACATTGATGCTATTGAAGGAGCATTAAAATTGCCCATTATAAGATAGTGACAGTACTTTTGTGAAACAGCATAGCGGAGGGCGTTTAACAGAATGTTATCGCTGCTGACGAGTTCGGAGGCCTATAGATAACTGCTAAGAAGCAAGCATCACGCGTCTTCCGTGAACCAACTTCTCGACCTGCTATGTGCAGTCGGCAAAATAGTGCGTCGGGAATAACAAGGGAATTTTCGGTAAGGGCCTCACATTTCAAGTAATCTCGATAGTAGAGGGCAACATTGCCACCGCGAGATGGACGATCATTTCTAATGACTGACATCTCACTGAGTTCAATCCCTGGATCAACTATGTCGTTTAAAAGCGGTTTCAGTAACTGCTATGGGGTCCCAAGTTGTTGTTTCATGTCGAGGCGCAGTTCCGAGAGCTTAGAATACAACCCCTGACTGTTGGTGTAGCAGCATTGTATTTGTTGAAGCATTAGGAGCTCGGTTCGCTGTGAGTAACCGACACAAACAGTGCCGGTCTGCTGAAGTTTTTGAAACGGTTGTTTGCACGATTGGCTGATCTGAGATAGGTACAACCGAGATTGTCTCATCTGTATCTGAGGTCTGTACTAATTGGAATGGTCTTAACCGTACTTCTGGTGGCCCAAGTTTCCTGTTGTCATACCATGCTTGGATCGCCACTGATACCATTTCGGGCGCAGCCAAGGTAACTTTCAAAATTCGTAGCCCGCTGCCTTGGTAGTTCGTGGAGGCAATTAGACGGGTGACAGCAAAAGCCACAACATTCTACATGTCGTAGAGCTCTGTGATGTACCTTCATTCTTCGAGGTCGTGCTTTTATCGTTCACTGCTATCGTCATGCTTCAATGCTGGCACACCATGAACCAGTACCATTTACTTCATCTCATTTTGACGCGAGGAACTAGGGTTGGATTTCCGCTTCTGTCTTTCTGCCCATGACCTGTCAGGAAAGAGGCGGACACTGACAGAAGAGTTCACTAGAATGTGGCTTGCAAAGAGAACATCTTCCAGGTCGTGTGTGTTGTCAAACGTTACTCGCTCTAATCGTGGTTCCACTAAGTGTGGAGGTGATGGATTTCGTGAAAGGTGTGTAAGACTAGTTGGGAGAACTTTCAGTCCGAGTGCGCAGGTTATTTCAACCCAGCGGTTTTGCTCTTCGGCTTGGCTACCTTTTAGAGATTGGCTAGTGGGTTCTGAAACGTTTGAACATACCACTGTCATCGCCTTTTGGTTGCGTAGTAATTGCTTGTTTTGCAGTTCCTTGTGAGTGTAGATTTGTCGAGTGGTGGTGTCTGGCTTGTCTTCCGTGGACGATAGGCCAAGGCTACAGCAAGATATTTACGCGCAACGCCGTTAGTTGCACTATCTGTAGGGGTCAATCGTTGTTGTTCAGCTACTGACGGAGGTGATCGTGCAATTTGTGCGTAACTCTGCATGCTCTGGAGCATTAGGTGAGATTTGGGGTACCGTTCAAGCGGCCTGTTTTCACTGCTGTTTTTCACTAACGGTGTTTGCCTTTCACTGGACTGGGTAGCATTGTTGCTAGAGAGCTTTTGCCTTTTAACAGGTCTGGGATTCGCGCTACGTAATGTATTAATCTGCAACTCGAATTCTGAGATGTTCCCTCTCAATACTACGATCAGTTCCTTTTGCTCTGCCGGCGTAACAACCAACATCTCACACCTTATCGTCAAGGTCTGACCAATCTTAATTATCGGACTAGCTGAACAACCTATCTGTCGATACGCTGTTAGCTCCGTTACGTGTAATGTACACATTTGTTGCGTCGTAGGAATTGGCACAGAACGAGAGGATCTCAGTTCGCCGTTTCTCTGAGCTACGATTGACCTTGGGTTTGTTGCTCACTGGATTCCCGGTCGACAAACTTCTCCGGCCCATGGAGCAATGGTCGGTATGCACTTTCAGGTTGCGCTGGTCACCCCGTTTGGGCTGCCTCAGTTGTCCGCTCCGGTCAGCGGGTTTGGTGGTGGTGCGTCACTAGGCGCACGAGTAACCACAATCACACAGACTTTGTGCAGTGGAATGCACGTAAAAATAGGGTGGTAACGTGAGACGACAAAAAATGCCTACAGCTATGGTATACAGTGGTGCACAGTACTGTTGTATATTGTCTGATAGCTTTAAAGAAGCTCTGTCGAATGGTATCGCAAGGGTACTCATAAAACTCAAATGAGCCAAGTTACTCAAGTTGACCTTGGTGAATAGATTTCCAAAGATTTTGTTTGTGGTGTACCGGCGTGTTGTTGGACTTACTGCACAAATATAGATCCCGTTGGATAGAGCTCGGTGATGCGAATCGATTGAGCGTACTTCCGAAGACGTGGCACAAGAATGTGAGGGAATAAGTCCAATTTAATACAGAGCACAGGGTTGCACAATGAGCACACACACGTTGACAAGGGGTTTAGAGGCAGTTCCACTGAAGGTAATGGCGGCGGATCATGGGCTAGCAGCTGATAGAGTCGCTGAGGGATGTTATTTTGCTAAATTTACAAGGTCCTGGAGTTTTCCAGGTTTATGTCGCTCGCTGCGATATTGTTTATGTTAGTGTGCCGCCAATTACTATTGGGAAAAAGTAGTGGGATGGGGGTGCGGCCAGTCGATTTTCTAATACTGACCCTACAGCCAGGTTTACTGTCGCTGGTTAAACCGCAAAATCGTTTAGTTCTCCTTGACTGATTTAACTTTTCACACCACCGCTCTGGTGTGTGTTTTGTGGTGTCTTTGAAGGTTGGGCATTACAAAATGGCATTGTTGGGCAGCCATACCCTGGTTTATCATTACGGATGTTGTGTGATAAATTCATGGTGGGATTTGCTTACGGATGTTTCCTTGCATTTGCCTACGATCTTGAAGAAGACTTTAGCTCTACGCTTATGTACAATAAGGGACAACGGCAAACCGCACATGGCATCTTTTAGCGTGCGTTACTTGTCGTTGGATCACACGAGATCGGATTAATTTCTGTTGCAATCTCGGTACGACTTAGGTTCCTGGCTTGTCTAATGTGATTTAGTTGGTGGGCTGTTGTTTAGTGTGCTATCTGCATGTATACAAGTTTTAATACGACGAGAATTGCTAGGATGTACTAGAGGTGTTCTGTCAAGGTCTCCGTCATTGTCTAATCGACGGTTCAGCGTGTTGATATTTATCACAGCTGGTGACCTTTCCTTAACAGCAACACCTCTCTCAGCAGTGTTTGGTAGTGTCTGACCATATTGTTTTGAATTCATTGTTTACAGTAATGAGCCATTTAGATGTCAGGAAGATAGTAGCAGTTGCTTCATCTGGGAACCTCAAGAGAGCCGAGAACGAGTTGGTGTTTAACTTTGTCTTGAATTCTCAGACCAAGGCCGTTAAGTCGACCCGTGCTGCAGGTTGTGAAGAAAAAACTTGTAAATTTAGCGATACTAAGTTGTGAGACAACTTCCCGTCTCGGAGACGAACCTTCCTGGAACATTTCCTCACTTGAGATTGCGTGCGGCAATCCGAGACACACGGCGGGTACTCCAAAACCCAACATTCATCTACTAATCGTTGCGTCAAGCACAGCTTACGTAGCTCAGTGGCCTTGTGATCATGATGATAGCTGCCAATCACTATATGCCAAGTTCTACTGCCATTTCAGGCTATCTCTAACTGATGACTTCAGACAAGGACGGAACGCGTCATGGAGTGTAGCGGTGGAAGGGTGAAACACTGAGACCCTCCACTTCCCCGATCAGTTATAGACGGAAAACTGTACTCGAGTCGATGAATCTTTGTACACAATTATACAATGTAGTCATAATCATCAGCGCCGTCACATGTTAGTTGCACGCAAATTCAAAACTAAAATCCAAATGGGTGAGCGATTGGTGAGTCAGAAAATAATTGAAAAAAGAATCCAACATGTTGAAAATACAATTTGCTGTGCAGTGAAGCGCGGAGAGATGAATGAGAATTGACTTTGTCTTTGAAAACCGATGTGGGCGACAGGAAGCATTGGAAAGCTAGTACCCAAAAGCGAGTGCCGTTAGCCTCCACGGTAAGATGGTTGGTGGATGAGGAATCTGATTTGACGGCTAGGCATACGCAATTTAGTAAAGCATGTGTTATCGTGTCCAATCACGCGTTTGCAAGTGAGTGAGTTGGTTTCGTGAGATTGTCCCATAGGTCTGAGTGTAGCTGCCCACTGGGGGCAAAGACTTCCGGCCTTGGGAAGCGGTGTAACCTGTGTGTCCTGATTTCATCTGCCGTGGTTTCGTCGGGCTTATGGTCTGATTGTAAATGGAAAGAAAGAAGATAGAAACAAACCCGGGAATTTGATTGCAACGGAAAGATTAATTACATAACAGCCATGCAACATCAGTAGTAAGTCCAGGTTAATGCTATGCTTTTAGTAACATCGAACTTTACTGGCGACAACCTCTGGTCTACTTTACTCGGTGTGATATGCATGCGATCCGCGCCAAGAAAGTACAACGTATAATTATATTGAGTTATTCCCCCGTTGTTAATGAATTACTTAGAGCTGCTTTCGTTGCGATGGAAAATGTTAATGGATCCCTCTAGCAACTTCGTCGAGCAACTTGCGACAACGCCACGTTAGACCTAACTAGATATGCATGGAGCACGTTCTGTTTAGTGTGGCTCATCCGTGCACAGCACCACAACGATACAAAGGAACAGGCCAGCAGTTAGAAAGGGCACGGTATTAATGCGACGCTGAGCATATGGCTGACACTTTTGGTTCTGGCTTCATGCCACAGTTCCTCCAACATATGCTAGATGGGATACCAGTAGCAAGCAGATGCAAGCCGAAGATGACAGTGAACAAACTCTATTACCTTCAGTCTTCATCGGCCAGCTGTGGGGTTGTCGAGTTTACAAAGAATCTATCTTAGGGACCATTTGCATTTCCAAGGGTTTAATTAATACAATAGGGAACAATAACTTTGAAGGAGTTGAAGAGCAGACTTAATACCGTGGGAATGAACCCATGATTCGAACCGCGACCTGGAGGACTTGTTAACTTATTCTATTTCAGTTTATCTTTAAAGGATCGGAATCTGGGTGATCCCGTTGATCTGGTTCAGAAAAACTTATCAACTTTGTCTAATCATATTTAGCTAGATGTTATTAGACAATACAGTTAGTACAGATCACGCTATTAAAATGCTTTTATCAGCGTAGGAAATGTGGGTTTATCACTGGTTCTGTTGTAAAAGAAGATGCTCTATCCATCGCCAAATAACAGAATTGATAACTATTCCCTCGGAAATCCAACAGTTGTGCACAATTCTTCACAGGCTCCGGTGGGCGAAGTTCATTTATTGGTTGGTCGATTCGGTACATAAGACTCTTTTTCAACCTAATCAGTAGTATCTGTGGCACCGCGGAGGTGCCAGTCCTAGTGGGTGAATTTCGCCGAGATCCTTAAGTGATAACCATATGAAAATCACACAAACCCTAACCGTATGGGCACTAATTTCTGCGGTGACCTGATCGTCAAAAGTGATGTGGCTAGCTAGAATGGTTCAGGGGAGCTGGAAAACTTTGATCCAGCGTCTTTAGAAACCCACGAAATAACACGCGATGTCATCCGACTGAACGAATTGAAATGTCAACATGGTATGCGTCCTGCCACTGTCTCATGGCATCGTCCCTTCTTCTACAGCTAGACCCTGATAATGACATACTTTGGGTTGCTCTACTAAGTAGGCTAACAACACAAAGGACAAGCGGAAAATACGAGTGCTAACTCGAACATATGAACGTACTCACGACTTCAGTGTATTACTGAGACTCCTGCGACTTATAACCGAGACGGACATAAAACACCACACCCGTCTCATGCAGTAAGAACAACGGGCTGTAAATAGTAGTAATACAAGTCAACTGGTGACTGCATTACTGAGAGAAAGGAGAGGTGGCAAAACTGACTTACCCTCCCACATCGTCATGCCTGAAGGCAAATGCATTGATTCCCCAATTTCCATGGCAGAAGCCTTTAACTCATACTTTGCTAGATCATTTAATCTTGAAAAAGAAACCTTGGAATGGTCAACCTCGTTTCACTTCTCTGAACAAGTCCCAACAACCAAGCTTAGTGTCGCTACGATAAAACATATGATTACCTGTCTACGACTATCCTACGGACCTGGACCCGATGGGATCTCTTCTGCTTTAGTCAAACACGGTGGAGATGATATCCCTCTTATATTATTAAATATCTTCCCTTTGTCTCTCCAGTCTGGTCAATATCCCGAACGTTGGAAAACGGCGACGGTTATACCGCGACATACCGGACATCCGGAACTACCGCCCCATTAGTCACACAGCCATTCTCCCACGCATGCTAGCGAGAATGGTTAAGAAATAGTTGGTTTCGTTCTTAATATCGCACAAACTTCTCTCATTTTCACAGCATGGCTTTCTGAAGTCCCACTCATGTGTTACCTGTCAAGTTGACTTCTTTAACCATATAACTGAAACAATTGATTCAGGTCTGCAATACATTGTCATCTTCCTCGACATGCAGAAGGCGTTTGACAGTCCCACACAAAAAGCTGCTATATAAATTAAGTAAGTACGGTGTTACAAATCCGCTTAACTCTTGGATCCAATCATACCTAGTAGGACGGTCGCAAGTTGTGGATATCAATGATTACATGTCTTCACCTCGTCTGGTCACCAGTGGAGTTGTACAGGGCAGTATCTTAGGTCCGTTACTCTTCGTACTCTATATAAATGACCTCGTTTCTATTATACAATTTGGAAAGCCTTATTTGTTTGCTGATGATTTAAAGGTGGTTTACACGTTCCCAGGTTTTCAGCGTACCGATGAACTTGACAATATCCAAAGCGACTTGAAAGCCACTGAGAGATGGACTGATATGTGGCAGATGACATTTTCAACATCGAAGTGTAGTATTCTAGCATATGGATGTCAGATAGCAGCAGAAGTGTTCTGGCTTCATGACGAAGTCATTCCCATCAGCCAGTCTGTTCGTGACTTAGGTTTCAGATATTCTAGTTCGTTAAAGTTTAGCGAACATACAAATCATATCGTGAAAAAGGCTAAGCAATCGGTCGGGCTGATATGCCACCTGCTAATCTTGAAAGAAACCAGACTAATTGCTTTCAAAATCAGTATCTGGACTTTGCTCGAATATTGCTGTGTTACGTTCAGTAACTTGCGAAAGCCTGACTTGAGAGCCATTGAAAACGTCCGACGCGCCTTTACGAAGCGCATATTTGGCTATTCAACCGTTCTTTCATAGAGAGATAGGTGCAAACAGTTGAATCCTGAACCTCTGTAGTTACGAAGAGTGCAATTAAATCTGTGCTTCCTCTACAAACTCGCGTGGCGGAAAGCATATGCTGGAACATATCAATTGCACTTTCGGGAAAATACCAGTTATGAACTGAGAGATAGTGAATGCATATTCTATCTGCCTAAATTCAAGACCAGTCTAAGGAGAAATTTATACTTCTTTGGTATGGCTTAATACGGAATAAGCTGCCAGAAGACATTAGATGTATTGAACATTTTCGCATGTTCAAGCAAATGATAAAGGCTTATCTGTATACGGACAAAGTGAAATGGCTCTTAAAATTCAACTTGATGATGAAAAGCTGTATGAAGAGGGGCCGTATCAAGTATGATACCGGAGAACATCGACTCCAATGCACAGAGAAAACATTATCATCGAGGATGAGCTGCTACAAACCGCTTTTTTAATGCTACCTCCTATGCGGTTTTACTCCTTTCAAACTTAACTCATACCAACTGTCTTCTGTTTAAAACCGAGAGCAAAATTATTTACTGGTGTAACGGCACTAACTATTTTCGTAATGTTCCCCACAAATTGATTAATCAGTAAAATTGTTCCGCGATTCCATTCACTACATTTGTTCTGCAGTGCTAATCATTTCCCCTTCTTTTCTGAAGTTAACAATCCAGAAACAAATACTTGAATTCAGTGATGGCAATAACTGATTCCCTGTGTGACTTTTGCCTATGGACAACTCGTACATTTACCTATCTGCGACTGTCAAGCCACACAACTCGATCGTATGATTGGCTCGATGCATTTCTACGCCGATGTAAAAACATACCTGCCCATCTTTTGCATTGACGATATAGTTTTCACGTAATTCTTCTTTCCTACATTCTTCCTTAGTTCATTGTCGGCCACAACTGGGCTGATCTTCTATGGTGACGGATTATAGCCTGCAGATTATAAAAGACTTTACCTATGCAAGGCACATTGCCACCAACTGACTGGCGTATTAAAAAGTGTCATAATTAAATGATCCGTATGACGGACTGGGCCGAGGCTTCATCGCTCATAATACATGTATAGAAGCAGCCCTAAAAAGAACAGAACATATGATATAAACAGGTGATGGCTCATATGCTACTATGCCACACCGGCACGCGAACATGTATGGCATGGAAGTGCGGGCGAAACCTTCGAGGGAATATCTCGCATGGAAGCAGGTCCCCTGGGGATGATTCCAATAGTGGCCGTATTATTTTAACTGGATATCTGTTTAAAGCTGCATTTGTTATTGTTCCTGGTTTTTTAATTTCTTTAATGACTTAATCCCGCCAAGTACTTTAGTACCAGTTTTGGATCCATTGTAAAAAGCGTGAACAAATTGATTATTGTTTGCGATCCTGTTGTACACATTGATCAGACCACATAGTTGGACTGCACCTCGAATCACCGAGGAATGTACTATTTATTTATTTATTTTCATTGCTGCACTTGGCGATGAACGTATTGGCAGCGGGCCACCTTTATGCCAATCTACTTCGGACACGCGGTTGATGATTTAAATGACCGAAATCCACTTCAAATAAGCCTAGGACCCAATAGATACTGCATGTCGCAATCCAACCACACATTGTGCGTACTCCAAAAATAGACTTAGAATTTGTCCAATATTGTGTACATTGCTGGATTTGTGCTATCAGTGTACTTGGGGATAGACCTCGGTCGTTTACGGCACTGGGATCGTATCAGGGGCAAATTCAACCTGATGAATAGGAACGAGGCAAAACAAAGCATAGAGTGTGCTAATTATAGTGAGCAAACACGAAAGTGGTGCAACTTCGGATGCGATCGAAGTGCTCAACCGCTACGACTCCCAGGTCGTTGAACAGGACGTGGCGGAACAGCATTGTTGGTATTCTTTCTGGAAGCAGCGCGATAGAAATGGTGTTTGTGGCTCGTCAATTGCAGGAGGAAAACTGTGAGCGAAACCA